ACGAGCTCTTATTTCAAAACATTTCGGAAACAAAAATAATTTAGTAGGCCAAAATAAATTGAAATTCATTCAATTTTCTTTAACATGGGAGTCAAATACATAATAAAATCAAAGTCACTGACATTACAAAATATCAAACGTTTCAAGTTAAAAAAACCTTATGTGTTCGGAGGAGTTGTTATTGTTCTTGATTATGTCAACCAATTGAACAAGTTCAACACAATTCTTGGAATGCTCAGCATTAGTTTCTTTTTTGAACCAAATTGTGGTGATTCAAAGTAAGTAATCAAGATGTATTATCAATTCTTGGAAATTAAGATTTGCAATAACTATATTGGACAAGTGCAATTTTTACACAAGGTACGGTTGGAATACGAAATCTAGTTAATTGATACATGTGTGGTAAAAATTGACGGATAATACTTGGATACTCACTAGTGAGTACCTTATATCCTCACTTTTTTATATGGCCCAATCAAAAGTTGTCACATATTCCTTGTTTTTTAAAGTCCAAGAAAAATATCTGTTATTTACTAAATAATAAAACACGTGTTAAAATATTATTGGGCCAAAATTAAAAAGTAAGTATATAGAGTACAGGAATGACCTAAATATTATCCAAAGTTGACAAACAAAACAAGTTGATCAATTACTTAGACGAGATGGAAGGGGAATTGTTGGTGCAAAATCCTAACGTGTCATAAAAATAGATGTCTTTCATATGGTTGTGCCAAACTCTTGTGACAACCTCCTCGCTCGGACTTGTCCACAATCCTAACGTTAGAGAGATGTTAAACAAGAGTCAATATACATTAGAATCTGTTTGTATTCTGTTATTTTCAAATACATGTTGTTGATATGTATTATCTTGTATGAGATATAGACGGGAAACTCATTATCCCAATAGGACTCTGGAAGTTTGTTGATGTCTCAAATCCCCCACCTGTACTATCACCACCACCACCACCACCACCACCACAACCGTACCTCCCACTCCTGCCTCTGATTCAGATGTTCTTCAGCCACTGCTACAATCACCTCGTCAACTGCTCCGAATCTGGAATAACTAAAATGGTTCCAACAAGATCAATGGATGGTTAGCTACATCACTTCTACATTGGCAGAGCCTATCCTTGCTCTCACCGTGGGCTACAAAGCTGCTCAAGCCCTCTGAACCCGTGTGCTACCTCTCCCTCAATGCAATCCTTACAGCCTTCAGCTCCAGGTTCTTCCCGTGAGCCGTCATAGCCGTCCTCCTCACTGCCATTTGCTCCTACCGCTGCCCAGCCATCTCTGCCTCTACCATCCCATCCTATGGTCACCCGTACCAGAGAGGGTACCTGCAAGTCCAAGACATGGACAGACGGCTCGATTCGGTGTTCTCTTGCCCATGCATTGGAATAGTTCTCTTTCTACTGACGAGCCCACCTGGTTTTCTCAAGCAAATCGCAAACAAGAATGGCGTGCGGCTATGGCATAAAAATGGAACTTGGGTCCTCGTTCTTCCTTTGCCTAATCTACATAAAGTCGGGTGTATCGAATAAACCGGAATTAGGTTTTCTACAAGAGATTAATTAATAAATAATACATGAATTTGGTTGAGGTTGACGAAGCCATCGGTTGGAATACTTCTTCCAAGTCCCCTAGGACAGCGCCATCACAGTCTTCTTGTTGAAATCTCTCTCGGGCTCCTCCCTCAATGCCACCATCGTCGGCCACTTCTCCGACCACATACTTGTCATACTATTTTAACCAACTAGCCTAGCCTAATATACAGCTGACCCGCATAAGCTTCATTGATGCGAGATTTAATTGACTTCTACAACAATGTTTTTTTTTTTTGTGTGTGTGGGGCTTATTCATTGATTTGCCTCTTGAAACTGTCGTTTAGTCTCACTTTACTCGTTAAAACTAGTTTTGTGTTATTTTTAGCTATGTTCTCTGTAATTCAATTTTAATCTCACCTTATTCTCTATAACTCAAAAGTCATCACCTTACTCTCTTAAACTCAAAGTTTTTTATCCCATTTTGCCCCAAAACTCATCTTTATAAAACTCAAAATCTGTTTCACATTGTCTTAGTTCTGTTAATTTCTTATGTCTGTAATTCAATTTTAATCTCAATTTATTCCCTAGAACTCAAAAGTTATCACTTTACTCTCTCAAACTCAAAGGTTTTGATCCCATTTTGCCCCAAAACTTGAAAGTCGTCTTTATAAAACTCAAAATCCGTTTCACATTGTCTTAGTTATGTTAATTTCTTATGTGAATTTGATTTGAGTGTTCTAGGCTACTCAATTTTTTTTTCATCTCTTCAATTTCTTTTAAACTTCATATTCTTAATGGGTGTTGGTCTACCATATGTTTAGAAGGCAATCTATAAGTTTCAGGGTGAAGAGTCCACAAGTCAAAGTGAAACGAATTTTGAATTTCATAGAGTAAAGTAGTGACTTGAGTTACAGGGATAAGGTGAGATCAAAATAGAGTTACATGACCGTTGCTAAAAATTAGCCTTGTCTTTATCTCTTTTTCGTTAATGCCGTCAAATAATCGTTAAATTAAAAGTTAGTATGAAATTTTATTTTTGACACAACTCCTTACCTCCAACTTGCTTGCTAAAACAGTCCCAATTCCATTTTCGATAACTCTAGTTCAAACCCCGGTTTGTCTCTCTTGCAAATTGATGCGGAGCAGTAGTTGCTTTTGAAACACAACTCATTATCTACTTTGTCAACGACTACAATTACAACTCCACACCAATCCGCTAGAGAGACAAACAGGAGTTTGATTTAGAGTTATCGAAAATAAAATTGGGATTCTTTTAGTAGGCAAGTTGGAGGCAAAGAGGTGTCCAAAAAATAAAATGTCCATACTACTCTTTAGTTTAATGTCTATTTTGGTGGAATAGACGAAAATGAAGTTAACTGAGACTAAATAAGATAAAAATAGTAGTTTTAGAGAGCAAAGCAAAAATAAGACTTAATTGCAGTTTTATGGGTCAAATCAATTAATAAGTCTTTAATTTTTCTTTTAAGATAATACTAAGGAAACTAAATTTTTAAATCAAGTTTACAAATCAAATGATGTGTTACCAATAAAAAATAAACATATTAATTAATACTTAATTAATAATCTAATCATTAACAATCACATAATTTAATTTACGTAACTTAGTTCAATGCTATGCAATGCACTCCTAGCATTACCTTTTTTTATTGTTTGCTTTTTAGAACAACACAATGCACTCCTTCACACACCTTATCCAGACTACAACTTTGACTATTCCTTTCTCTAGAAGTCCAACAGAAGTTGACTGGTTAACTCATCCCAAAGACCCGTTTAGCCTTTCTCTAACTCGTTCTAGAAGATCACAACAAAACCAAGCCACTCAAAGCCAGTCAAACTAAAAGCCAATATCAACACTTGTTCCTCCCTCCAACTTTCAGAAAGTAAAAGAAAATTCGAGATGCTCACGTTTTGTACTATTGCGAAAAATTATTTACGCATCCGGTATCCTTAACATCAAATGACATGCTAACATGAAAGCCAGCAACCCACCCAAAAAGTATAGCATGCATGACATAAGGAGGTGAGGTCCCGTGCGACACTTGCCCCCTTAATTCTTGTCCAAAAGGAAAGCTTTCAAAAGAAAGTATTACCAAAACCTTTTAGTAAGTGACTAGGAAAAGTGCCCCCGCGATGATGTGGGTTTTTAAATCGTATAAAATATGTAGAAAGTTATACTGTGTACATATACTATTTACATACATGTGAAATCTATTTACAACCCTAAAATAAGGTTTCAACTTTGACATAACAAAAACAGTTTGGACAAATCTTAGCAAGAATTAACTAATATATATGAAGGGATCCCCTATAATGATAGTTTGCACAACCGACTTTTAATATAGCTAGAAGTAGAAAATGAAAAACCTTTCCTTCTGTAAGAATGAAAGTAGTAATGGTAACATCAGTTCCAGACATATTTTAAACGTCGAATATAGGAGCATACTTATTAGCTATTGGATTATATCTCATCAATAACAAATAGCCAATTTCCGCACCATTTTTCTATAGCTTCATAGTTGGCATAGTCTGAGCTAGTAACAAATCTCTCCACTTCTTTGAGATAGTTTTGAGCAATCTGTGATTCCCATGAGACACCTTTGCCTAACATCTCAATGCTAAATCATCAGGAAATCCAGGAATAAGACAATGGTGCAAAAATTCTCTATATTCCAAAACAATCCCAAAATGGGCACCCTAGAATTGTAAAGATAATGTCTTTATCAAATTTTCAATTAATTACAGCAAAACCCAAAACTTAAATAGTTTTAATGAGCTTACGGGACCACTCATCAACAAGCACATGGCTCTTAGAACCTAACACCAAGGTCTTCCAACCTCTTTCTACGGTGGCCATCATAACCTGTTTGCTCTTTGTCCACACCCGCACCCTCTTGGACTCGACATACATCGTCGAAGACAATACTTATATAAAAAAAATGTTTTAAATGAGAGACTTTTTTTTTCTTTTCTCACGTCCTAGAAGGCCCAATAATGGCTGCAGAAGAAGAGTTCTTAGCAATCATTTAATGTATGTGTGATGAAGTGAATTTGCAAATGTTCCATATATCTGCAAACACTAATCAACAAACAAAAAAAATATAACAAAATGATAATTAAATTGACTGAAAATATTCATTTTTTTATATTTTGATGAGCACATTGAGCAGCGAGGATGCACAGTAACCAATGGTTTCAACCCAAGGAAGTAGAATGCAACACAGTAGCTACCATCTTCTTCTAAGGAATGTTGGAGATATAATCTAGGAACCATCGAAGGTATTTAGGCTAAAGAAAAACACCATCAAATCTCAAAAAAAATAAAGACAAAGAAAAATTCTCAAAAACAGTTAATTTGGTAGAACCTAATTGAACACTCATAAATTCAAGAATCCATGTCAATTATATTCATAGAATTTCCAAAACACATCTCATCTCAAGCAAAATAATCCAAGGAATCTCTTAGGACTCTGTTAATACAAAGCTCTTAAAGCTTTGGTCAAAGAACAAAAAAAAAAAAAAAACCTTGTACAGTTCTCTAATTGAAAGCCAATTGCAGGCTGCAAAAAGAGATTTATCTTATTTTAGCAAAATGAATTCCAACTGGCCACAAACCAATGCCTTGACCAAAATGAATTCCACTTAAGTGTCAACCAAATTTGCAAACATCTAAAAGTTCTTCGATTTTCACACACCAAAACAACATATCAAATTAAAAAACCAATGCAATGTTAGTGAAATAAATTTGCACGGTATTTTAAGCTGTAAAACAATCACCTTGCAAATGAATAGGCACATCTGATTCTTCCAAATATTTCCACCTCCATCCTAGAATTCGTCCTGTGTCACCGCAAATACATGTAAAAAATCCGAGAAATCAAATGCTAACGAATCCAACTCTACAAAGTCTATGCAATGATTCAAATGCAATGTAGCATATGATAAGATCAAATCCACAACCTGGTATTGAAATTGCTCATAGATGGCCAAGTCAGTTTTCTCTTCACATATTCCCATTTGCTGCCACACAGGAATTACTACTCCCATTACTCACAGCTCCAGCAGTGGACTGCCCGTTCTGCTGCGGCTCCGGCATTTTCTTTCTACCAAACTTGGCATCATAAAACAATTTATAATCTTAAAAATATAAATAATTTTAGATGAGATAAATCCACGAATTCTTTAGACAATCCTATCCATCAGATCAAGATTTGCAATTGCACAATCTGTTCAACCAAAATTTAATCCAAAGCTACTAAAACTCTAAGCATGTAATTAATCCCCAAACAAAAATTATATTAAAATAAATTTGAAAACAGAGGCAAACAAAAAAACAAAAGCAAACAGAAGGTTTGATTTTGTTTGCATATAAAATTAAAAAAGTGCTTGCATTCAAAACCCACGTTATGAAGGCAAGAAGTGGATTGCGTTCATATCAGCCACATCATACCCTTATCTCAATCATTACTTTATCTAAATCCTAAATTTGTAGAAAATGCATCGAAATAACATAGTGGTACATTGTGTTGGTACAATTATATAGACACGTTATCATTGACATCCCAAAGTTTTCGTGTATACATTTGAAAAAAAGAAAGGAGAAAAAAGTGCAGAGCAAACCTATGAGGAGTGATATCAAAGATTTCGATGGGAGCTCAAGACATCAACGTACTTCCAACACAAAGCAAGCTTCCTTCAAAGTCCAGACCATTATCTGTACCTTCACCAGCAAAAATGGTAGAATTGTAATAATCAGTGGTTAAAGTTGAATTAATAAAAAAAATTAATTAAGGAGTAGGCAGGTACCATAAAAAACATACCGAAAATTTTTTCCAACCCCCTCCTGCACCAACAAACTGTGTATCTACAATTTGATAGCGTTTCTACCAAACATATACCAAGTCGCATTAATGATTATTAAACTTGACCCTACACTACATATGAAATTTTACCCATCACTTTAACAAAAAACTTTTACAAATCCAAAATAACGTAGATATCACTCTTCCAATTTTATCACCACAACCTCAAATCTTATGAATCAAGCATAACCATCACAGCAAATCAAATAAATAGAAGAAGCTATGGATTTAAATAAAATTGCTAGCACAAAAATCAGCAAGAAAATATGCATCACCAATTAACAACCCAAAGACGCACAAAAAAAGTCCCAAATCACCAAAACAAAACCAAAAAAAAAAAAAATTCAGCCGCAAAGAAAACAAAGGAAAAAACAAATAATACATTTATATACCTTTAGCACAGAGAGTTCCAAGAATCAGAATCGAAAATCCAAAATCTGAAAGGGACTGTTTCCCGAATCTGGAAAACAAAACGCATCAGACACACACAACAACGATCCAACGAAAAAAAAAAGATCGAAACCATATAAGCTGATAAACATGCAAAACTCACCTGGAAACGCCGGATTAGATCGATCGCAACCAAGTTCGAAGCGAACCCAAGATGGGCACAAAATTTCTGAAATCAAAAAGCAAAGCCCATGAGATATTAACAAAAAAAATCCAAAAAAAACATGGAAAATCGAAACCCCGTGCGGTAATATACATGTAAAACTTACTTGGAAAACCCGGATTCAACGAACCAAAAACCCAAAAAATTATTGGAATCGAACCAAAAAGGCAGAGAAATTAACAACTGTGACCACTAATCGAAGAACAACTAAGCAAAATGGCCCGCGTTTTGAACAATGAAGTAACACGATGAAGAAAACAGAAGCGAAAGTGGAGAAAAAAGGACGGCCAGAAACAAAGCAAATGGAGATATGCGAGAGAGAATAGGCGAAAGCAAAAGAAAGATCCAGAAATAGAGACCTCGATTGAAGAGAAATGGTGAAGCCCTTCCTAAATCGAGCGGCTTGGTGCAGAGAAGAGTGAGGCGATGAGGGAGGCGGTGAGAGCATGAGTCGAAAAGGTGGGTTTAAAGTCTGAAACGGTGGGGAAGCATCTAGAGAAAAGTTGGGTCGAGAAGATATAGGAAGGAAGGGCAAAGTTGAAATAACAAAAACGAAACAGGGATGGAAATGGGAGAACACTGTTAATGAACAGTGATTTTTCTGTTGGGTTTTAGTATATGTATAATTTGTTTGATTGCTGACTGTGAAAAGAGAGATTTTTCTTCTTGCTTCGTTACGCCTGCTGTCAAAGATCTCTTGCTCTACCTAGGGATGAGTAACGGTTACGATGGAAGGGTAATCATGGTTATTTACCCATAACCATATATGTTCATACTCGCATAACCGTTCATCCGTTGAGTAATTGCATAAATGGTTATACCTATACCGATAACCGTTTATAAACAGTTAACCATACCCATAATCGTGTACTATTTAACCATAACCGTTTACCCATTTAACCATAACCATTCACCTGTTTATCCGTTTTTGAACTCGTTTATCCTTTTTTTACCCATTTACCCCTTTTTCACCGGTCTACATGTTTTTTTTTATTAACAACTTGAAAATTACAAAAGAAAAATTTGTCATAATTTTCATTTTCTGACAATTAAACACCGTTATAGGTACATTTTAGCATGCATTTCCTTATTTTAATCATTTAAGTCCTCATACAATTCCAATAATTGAAATAATAGTTTACAAACAATATTTTTCTGCTACACCCAAGCAAGTCTTTAATTATAATCCATATGATTACAAAGTAAAGCTTCTAAAAACAAAAAGTAGTTATTATCGTGAATACTAGATGATTCAAAGCTCAAAAATATTCTGAAACTAAACACTTTCGAACACTAATGCTTTAGCACGTTCAATCACAATGTCTCATCGTCCCGTTGTCACCAAAAGAGACCTACAAAAGAAATGTATAAATTGAATTAGTATCCCATTTTGAAACACCGACACCAATTAGCATGAATCCAACAGAGGTATTACATAGCAGCTCAAGAAGAATTTGATTTCCTAGAAGCAATAAGATCACACACACACACACACACACACACACACACACCTCTCTAATAGATTCATTTGTGTAAAGGCAAAAACCAAGGAACTATCTTATAAGCATTCATAAACAAATAAATCAATAATTAATCAGATAAGTATGAAATTGGAAGGGTAAAATGCACCTTGAGGGGTGAGGAGAGAGAGAAGAACGGCGGAGATGAGAGAGAGATGACCGGCGAGGAGAGAGAGAGATGAGAGGCGTAGATGAGAGAGAGATGACCGGCGAGGAGAGAGAGAGATGAGAGGCGTAGATGAGAGAGAGAGCGGTGGAGATGAGAGAGAGATGACCGGCGATGAGAGAGAGATGAGAGGCGTAGATAAGAGAGAGGGCAGCGGAGATGAGAGAGAGGGCAGCAGAGATGAGAGAGAGGGCAGCGAAGAGAGATAGATGAGCAGCTGAGATGAGAGAGATGGCAGCGAGGAGGGAGAGATGAGCGGGGGACGGGGCGTTTGAGACTCTGAGTCTGGCGGAAGGATTGAAAATTTAGGGTTTTTAATTTTACATATATTAAATTAATTGGGTAAATGGATACCCGTTATAACCGCGGGTAATACCCATAACGATGGATACCCATTATAACCGCGGGTAATACACATAATTGCCCATTTAAATTTCACGGATAAACGGTTATACTTATAACCATTTGTTTGTCTAAACGGTTACCCATAATCATAACTGTGAACTTTAAATGAGTGGGTAACCGCGATTACCCAACTCATGGGTATTTTGCCCATCCCTAGCTCCACCCCTCAAATGGGTTTACGTTTATAAAGATATGCCACCGACCATGTGTCATAATTTGAGTAAATTAGGTTTGTAAGCACGAAAAATTATGCGACAAAGAACAAGAGAACAAGTGTACCAAATAAATGTATTGTATTAATGAGATTAAAGTTACAATCTCCTTACAATTTGAATCCTATGATTCGCTCTCCAAACATGTAATTGTGTAGTGTTGTAAGGGTTGTTGACCTAAGAGTTGCAATGACTTGATCTCGGATGAACGGTTGTCGCGAGGTTTTGGCTCTTGGCGATTTGAGGATCAACATGGGTAATAGTGCTTGATGATTCTTCGAATGTTAGGTGAAGAACATTGAGAACGTTCTTAATTCTTCTGAGTACTTTGGTGATTTAGGTGCTTGAGCTTTGGCAACTCAGAATGCTTGAATGATTTCTGGATCACTTTTTTTGTCTTTGAGCCTTCTATTTATAGACTTTCCAAACTTTACCTACGAAAGAACCAAGACTTGATTTGTGTCTTGGTTCGTAATTTGACTCCATCAATTAATTTGTTTGATTTAAATTAAAACTAATTAAAGAATTAATAAAGATAATTCTTTAACTAAATTCTGCCAAACGTTGCCACGGGTCCTCTTGATGACTCGTCTGATTTTGATGAGTCACATGTCATGTGTACAATTTGTGAGACATATAATACATGCCACCTAAACTCTCGCATGCCAAAATTTAATACGTTGATAAATATTTATTTTAACCGAAATTTGCATGTTTACAAGATCATTAAGGGCCTAAAACTTTCCAAAAAAAAACCATCTCCATTATAGCAAAAGAGAATCTCCAAAAAGTAATTTAAGCCGAGTTGGTAGTCTAGGACATCAGTGTTCACGAAGCCCACTACGTTACAACCGAAAGTAAATGATCTGCTGTTGCGGATTGCATGCTTTATCATGCACTCGCAGCTTTTGTGCCGCACAATGAGATTTGTTTGGAAAGCTAGCTGACGTCAGGGCGCTACTAGCCTCTATAATTTTATTAAAAAATAAACATAAAGTTAAGAAAAATTCTAACATTCCCTACTTCTCCACATAGCTTTCATACACTTCTCCTTAAAACATTTCTTCCCGATTTTTTTCTCCTCAGTCATTTAATTTTTCAAACCGTTTGAGAAATATGAAGATTCAAAATTGGACATGAAGTGAAGATCGAGTTCTTTGCAAGGCTTAACGTTAAAGTGACTAACATATCTTAAGAAACGCTTTGAAATCACATTGCATAAAAATACTTGGAGGCACAATTGCTCCTAGAACACCACAAGCCTACATGTGTGATATCAGAAATATATATCCGCTCTTAGAACACCACAAGCCTACACGTGTGATATCCGAAATATATATCTCCATAGATAGATACTTTCTATATTTATCTTTTTAAAAGAAATTATGGATTCAAATAATTTAAACAATGCACGGTATTTGAATGTTTGTGTAGTGTACCATAGTATTTTCCAATATACAAAAAAGTAATAAATATCGAGAGGGATAAAATGTTGCCCCTGCACGACTGGAGATGTGAAAACAATATACTTAGGAGGCTAAAAAATGACATGGTGGCTAAATATGGCAAACAACTAGAGATGGCTTTAGTAACTTTGCATCAGCATACACAAAAATTTAGGACTTTTGGTTAAAAATGATTTAAAATGAAATCTCAATTGTTGAATTGCTCAAATATTGACGACATATCAATTATGTATTGACGATACAATGATGAGATATAGTAAAGAAATGATAATTTCACCAGATACAAACTGAAATTAGATCATCTTAGCCAAAAATTCAATAGTTTACCCTAGTTTATAGCTTATTCCATGATAAAACTGTTTTTTTTTTTTGAACAAACAATAGTATCTAAACTAAGGAGAGGGGTGGGTTAAACCTCACAGTGAACTAACAATAGTGTTGTTCAAATTCGTCTTTGGAGATAATCGAACATAAGACATCTTACTTACAAGTGAAGAGGAATACAACTATACCATAATACTAAGTGGCGTCTACGATAAAACTTGTACTAACCTTTTACCATATTACCATGAGTCAAAGTTAGTCTAAGTTTTATCCATTATCTTTTCCACATTAATAATTTACAGTTAATTGTTTAATTGTTTGGATACTTAAGGATTAGATGAAATTGTAGCAATAGTCCCTAAACTTTAACTCAATTGGAGCAATGATTTATAAACTAAAAATTCATGACTAGTAGTCTCTCAACTCATAAAAACGTGCAACTATGGTCATTTTCGTTAACTCCATTAGAACTTTTGTCAAAATAGGTCACGTGTCACACACATGTGGCTGAATCAAGGGGCAAACATGGAAAACCAAATGAAAAAAATTGTAGCAATGATCTCTCAACTTTAACCCAATTGGAGAAATGGTCCCCCCAACTTTAACCAAATTGGAGAAATGGTCCCCCAACTTTAATCCAATTGGAGCAGTAGTCCTTCAATTTTAACTCAATTATAGCAATGGTCATTTTAAAATGAGTCATTTTGATGAAATTCTCACAGAGTTTACAAAAAGGATCATAGCTACACATTTTGATGAGTTAAGAGATCAATGGTCATGAGTTTTTAATTGAGGGACCATTGCTCCAATTAGGTTAAAGTTGAGAGATCATTGCTACAATTTTCTCTATGAATTAGTAGGAACTCTTACTCAAAAATTTTCGTGTTCCAGTCCAAATGTTTGTGCTTATGATCAGAACAGTTCATATTATGAATAAAAATATTTTAAAGCTAAAGTAGTTTAGTCAATTTATAGTAACAAATACATAGATGGTTCTTAATACATGAATTCTGTTCATCTGTATTTATATTATTGGATGACTAAACAATGTTAGTTTAAGACGACTTTTGTAGGGTGGTTTATAATATGATGAGTTCTGATTATAAACTCAAAAGTTATATAAATCAACAATGAACAATTTTAAGTAAAAACTCCTACATACCTGTGAGTAATCAAATTATTCTTATTTATTAAAACATAATTTCTTCCCCTTTTTTTATCACGAGCCAGAAAAGAGTCCTTATATATGACAACCGCCTCTACATGTCCTCTTGTACGCAACAATTCACAAATATAACATAAAACGCCTCTTCGATCGGTGACCGAAACCCTCTCGGCTACTTTCCTTTCTTCCTCCAAATTACCCTCTGTTTTTCTTCTCCGCCATGTCTTCTATGCTAGGCTCTCAAGGTTTGGTCCTGGCAACTGCCATGGCCGTCTCCAGCATGCTCGTCTTTCTTCATTTCTCCAGGCAAAAGAATTTCCCACCAACCCAACTTTCCCATCAGTCTCCGAACCAAATCCCTCTACGTTCTTGCTTGTATTCAGGTAATTGGGTTTCTCTTACTTCTTTACTTTTCCGGCGATATTCTAAGTACTGTAAACTAACGTGGCCGGCACACTGGCCTGACCAACTGGCTTACGTTTTTCTTTCTTGTTTCTCTTTGCTCAGTAATTTTATTTTCTTATGGTTGTTGAGTTGTTTTGTTCAGGTGATAGGAAGAGGGAGAGGAAGAAGAAGAAAGTACATTTTGCTGAAAATATTGAGGAGGAGGAGCGAGCTGGGGATGGAGAGGAGGAAGAAGAACCGATCAGTATAGAGAAGAGCAAAGTCGAAACAAGTTGCAGAAACGAAATTCGACGAAAAATTCCGGCGAATCGAATCGCTTTGTACAACGGAATTCTCAAGAACCGCATGCAGAGGATGGAGTGTTCTCATTGATTGGTCTGGAAATTTCTGGGGTTCTTGGTTTCTTGGCTACATAGAAGGAAAAAAGTCTTGGTCTTCCGTGGTTGTAAATTTGTTTTTGTCTTCTTTCTTTTTCTCTTTGTTCCCCAAAAAAATGTGGTTGTAAATACTTCGAACTCTGTCCAATTAATTAAGAAAATTTGGGCAATGCTTTTTTCTTCTACTTTCGACCCATCAAATTTAGAAATGTTTGAATATAATTTCATGTTTCTGGTTTATTACGAAAATTACTTGCTTTTTCTTTTCCTTATTTGGTTTGAATTTTGAGATTATTCGTAAAACTTTGTCTTTTATCAGATAAATTAACTCGTTTACATACTTTAATTAAAAAAAATGTTCTAAGAATTTAGAGATCTCTGCTATTGTTTTTTGGTTGGAAGAGAGTGTAAGAATCTAGAAAACTAACGTTTCCAAGACTTTGTTGTCACACATGTTGATCTTTTTCTTTCGATTGTACACATGTTGAACTTAAACTAACGTGTCTAATAGATTATAGCTCATTTGTGATGAATAAGAGCTAATTTATAATTACTTTTAAATAATTGAAAACGCTTATAGTGAAATGTTTTTTGAAACTAATAGTTAGTATACATTGTAAGCGAATCTTAAAAAAGCAGTTCAAGTGTTTTTGAAAACCAAAACAAAAATATTATTTTTAAAAATCATTTCAGTAATTTTAAAAATACTTTTAACAAGTCTTAACAGTACTTATGTGTTATTAACAATTCAAAAAAGTACCCTCGAAATGAATCTTTTTTTAAACCTAATGAGACATTTTAACTGCATCTAGAAAATTCCACAAAATGGGTATTTTATAAGAAAAATTAATGAAAATAGTTTGAAAACTTTAAGTTTGAACGAAAATGACAAAATAAAGGATAAAGTGAATAATACTCAAATTAACTTTTTAATGTTAAAATATGATTTTTCGTTAAAATGAACAGTATCTTCTATTTTGTATTCTTTGTTGATTGAAAAGCTTTTGAATGAATGAGTGAAAAAAAAAGAGAGTAAAATATTCATCTTGACTGCTGGAAATGCTTTGAAGGATAAAGAATTTAAAAATGTTATATTTAAGTCAAATGTATTTCTCACGATTCATTGAACTGAACTCCGCTCCTTACTGACTCGCATTCTATCAAGTCGTGCCAAATACATTTATATGGTTCTTTTCTTTTCATTTATCTAACCAGTGTAAGCTTTTATTTTCACAATTCAAATAATCTATTCTAAAATATCGATATTATTTTGATATTTTCATCGAAATTTTCGTGTTTTTGAACTACTGATATTTCTAATATTATCGATATTTTAGATCTTGATAAGAACTCTATGTGGTACTAAGTCACTCATGTATCTTACCATGCAATGTATGAAATGTAAAATATTGTACTAATTCACTATATATAAATGATTATGGTGTGTTTAAACTTCTTTCATTAATTACTACATATTTTCTACACTCACAATGTTTGCCAGCTCGCTATATAATCAACTTAAATCAGTTAAATCTATCATGCAATGCAATTCCTTCCAAATTTTTTGTGATAAACTAATAGATAATTGATTAAATAATCATCCTGCAAAGTTTCAATAAAAAATTTCAAGTTTTTCTTACAATTTCCGTGGTTTTTATTCAATTTTTATCGATATCGATAATATCCCGATATTTCCATCGAAATTTCGGTGTTTTTGGACTACCGATATTTCCGATATCATCAATATTTTATACCTTGGTTTTAACTATTTCATTCAATGTTTTGGGAAAAGAGTTTTAGCTGACCAAAAAAATTTGGGAGTTTCATTATCTTTAGTGGAGTTTTTAAATATGGACAACTATCATATTAAATATGTATAAAATAAATATAAAGACAAAATGAATCTTCAATAGATCGAAAAGTGAGTCCCTAAAGTATAGGGACTCACTGGATACATAGTGTATGTCCTCACATATAAGAATGTATAGAGATAACCTTGAGTTGAAAACATGATCCATAATCTTAATTGAAACTTATAATGCTTTTAATTAATAAAAAAAGGTTAACATAAACAAAAAATGTGCACCTAGTCAAATTATCACACAAAATCATAAAAACTTCAAATTTAGGGATTATACTATAAGGACTCTCCCTTTTTTTTTTTTTTTTTTTTGAGAAACTGGATAAATTCATAACCAGGGCCGCAGCCAAAACACAAGGAAGCCTACCAGGAGGCAACAACCAGAGGAGAACAACAGAAAGCAGTGAAGAGGGGAGAAAAGACTAAAGACACAGAACCGAGTGCCAAGCGTCACCCCCTTCACTACCAAAATACAATTAAGGAGGACAAGGGAGGCCATCCTTGTTCAAAATATGAACCAACGACGATGGGGGACGGCTAATCCAAGTAAACCCGCACATCTCCGTGTTACTTCTCGACGCCAAGCGGTCCGCCGCCAGATTGGCCGATCTCGAATCCCAAGACCAGCGGCACGACTGAAAGATATCCTTAATCCTTAAAATTTTTGTTAACGTCGGATAAGCCTCCCAGCGGCCAGAGGACAAATCCTGAGCCAAAGCAGAAATGTTCTCTTTAGAATCTGATTCAACAATAATTCTATGCAAGCCCATAGACTTAGCAAACTCACAACCATACCAAATGGCAAGTGCCTCAGCCACGGCAACACAAGGAGTAGAAATCCTAAGTTTTCGAGCCCCAATAAACTTACCGAGAGCGCATCTAGCCACAATCCCCACATAGCCCTTAACCGAAATGACATCCCAACTAGCATCAACGTTGAGCTTGATAAAGGAGGAGCAAGGCGGATACCAGCGAGCCACAACCAGAGGGGAAACCGGCTGAGGTAAAGAGGTTCCCACAGTCGGACGGGACGCCTCCAAAAAAGCTGCAGTCGAAGAGGATATAGACAGAATAACTTGATGAGGGTTGATAGCCTTCTGGTTATAAATAAAATTACACCGAGCCTTCCAAATAAACTAGCAAGTGAAGGCAACAACAGGCATGAACCAAATAGAAACATCCTTTGAGCCCAATGGTGAACATAAAATAGAAGAAAACCAGTTAGCTAACGTAGAGAAGCCCACTTTGTCCACCACATAATTTAAAGAACCACCAAACCATACAATAGCGACCCACGGGCACAAAAATAAAATATGCTCAACATATTCAACCTCACAATTACAAATAGGGCATATAGGAGACGGGGAACATTTACGCCGAAATAAAGCCTCCATCGTAGCCAAAGCTCAGTTCAACGCCCTCCAAAGAAAGCAGCGAATTTTCGGGAGGGTCTTCACTTTCCAAATAGCCTGCCAAACTGAAGAAGGAACCACAGTCGAAGATGAGGTACCCCTAGATATCGCTGAAACCGCACGAGACCGCATCCAGTGATATCCCGATTTTACAGAATACACCTCATTCCTCGTGTTCGGCCAAACCAGACGATCATTAAGCAAAGGATCACCAACACAAGTATCATAAATCGCCTGGCACTCATCATGAGAAATAAAAGGTTTGAGAAAGTCTATATCCCAAGACCTTGAAGATCCACTTATTAAAGAGCTAACACACAAGTTCCTAGAAACCTGCACATTACCTAGAGGACGAGGATGCCCGAGCGAGAGAGAAGAAAGTCATCTGTCACACCAAACTCTAACATTAGCCCCATTCAAAATTTACCAATGGGCACCCTGAAGGAGGATGTCGCGGCCCACTAAAAGACTGGACCAACCCCAGAAAGCCCGACCTCCTCGAGTGGCCTTAAGAAACGAACAGTGGGGGAAATAATGGGCTTTAAGAACCTGCGCCCATAAGGAGTTAGGATCCACAACCAGTCTCCAACACTGTTTAGCAATGAGGGCATCATTAAAATCCTTGAAATTACGGAAGCCCATACCCCCCATTTTCGGCATTCCCAAAATCTCCCGAGAAACCCAATGTATCCCCCTTATTCCTCCCTTGATTCCCCCACCAAAAATCAGCAATTAAAGAGTCCAGTTTGGAGCATAGTGTAGTAGGGAATTTAAATAAATTCATAGGATACGCGGGAATAGCTTGAAGCACAGCCTTAATCATAATCTCTTTTCCTGCTTGTGAGAGAGTGCATTGTTTCCAGCCTTGAATTTTTTCTAAGATCCTCCCCTTGACATAAGCAAGGCCATGCTTCTTAGAGCGGTTCCAGATAGAGGCCAAACCCAAGTACTTCCCCGGGTCATCCACCAAATGCATGCCAAGAACTTGACTAAGCTCATCAGCTGTACCCCCCGGAATGTTAGCACCAAAGAAGATACAAGATTTCTGAAGATTCACTTGCTGTCCAGACGCCAAGCAATAATCAGCAAGTATCTTAACAAGATTCTCACAATTTTGACAATCCGCCCTAAGGAAAAGCAGAGTATCATCGGCAAAAAATAAGTGTGAAATAATCGGGCCAGCAGGATTCATACAGATGCCCCTAAGATCCCTTCTATCAACCGCCACTTGGATAAGTCGAGATAACACTTCACCAACAAGGAGAAACAGATACGGGGATAGAGGGTCGCCCTGCCGAATCCCCCTAGAAGGAATAAACCGCCTACCCGGCTGTCCATTCAGAATAACCGCAAAATCAACAGATTTCACACACCCCATCACTAGAGAGGTCCATCTCGTGCAAAATCCCATCTTCTCCATTACCGCCTCCAAGAAATCCCACTCCACTCTATCATAAGCCTTATGCATATCCAGCTTTATTCCCATCTCAAACAGACGTTTCGCTTTCCGGAACTTCAGAAAGTGGAACAATTCATGAGCTATGCCAATGTTATCCTGGATTTGTCTCCCCGCCACAAACGCATTCTGCATGGGAGAGATGATGTCTGGAAGCATAGGTTTGAGACGATTAGCCAGCACTTTAGAAAGAATCTTATAAGAATAGTTGCATAAACTGATGGGCCTAAACTGTCCCACAGATTCAGGAATTTTCACCTTTGGGATTAGAACAATATGTGTAGAATTAATTCGTTGAGGAGAGCTAACACCATTCACAATATCCCTCACCACAACATTAACCTCCGAAACTAACGAGTCCCAGAAAGACTGATAGAACACACCCTGGAATCCATCAGGACCCGGGGTTTTCAGACCCCCCCATTTGGTTAGCAGCAAGTTTGATTTCATTTTCCGTAATCGGGCCTATCAACACATCATTCATCTCCCTAGTCACAGAGCATTGAATACA